TGAAAATATTCCTAGTCAGAAGTGCGTATAACTCACACAGCTTCCTATATAGCCTGGCTTAACAACACAGTGCTCTGTGGAGTCGCTCCTCATGCTCATGGCCCAGGCTGCCACTGTCCAGCAGAGAGATCTAGACTAGGAAAGGTCAAAATGAAGAATTCCAAGTTCAGTTTGTATTGAATGTGCAAAGCTGATGGTGGAACCATGGTACATTGGGGATCATCTGTGTCCCTGACAGCTCAGAGAGGATAAGGACTGTTCACTGGCCATTTGTTCCAAGCTGAGGGGCCAAACCACTTGAAATGGAGATGGGCCTCTAAGAAGATGTCATGGTGACCTTGAAGTACTATGTAACAGCCCTGGAGGAAGTGTGGCTTCTCTGAAAAGAGCAGAGCAGAGAGGAGAGTGCACATGCCAGGCACCTGACTGTTCCTCGGCCTGTCCCTGAAGCTAAAAGAAGGGTTTTCATTAGAAAATTGCCCAGGACACAAGGAACATTTTTTTCATTGGTGTTCAAAGAAAAACAAGATGCAGATGAGAGGGCTCTGACCCCAAATCAGCATCTCCTAATCCCATCGCTGCAAGTGAAGACTGTGCATATTTAAAATAAATATCATCTATAATATGCAAGTCAATTACATGTTAGATATACAGTGATCTGAAGACGTCAGTGAAATCCCAGTGTCTAAAAAGCCTTTGGGGTTCTGATTTCTTGTGTTTAACATATGTGTGGGACTCACCATGGACATGTGAGATCCCTGTATACAGCACTCACATTTTAACAAACCACAATGCATCCATCCTCCTGCTGATGGACCTTGTTCCTAGTTTGGGGGCTATTGTGAAGAACATTCTCTGAATGTGTCATCTTTTGGTTGGTCTATTATACTTTTTGAACTGACATTCTGCTGACACCTAGGAAATATACCAATTTTGATATGTTTATTTAGTATTTGGCTATCTTATGGAAGTCTAGTAACTTTTTATTTCATTTTCATGGGTTTTCTTGGAATATATTTGCATCGTATATAAAACTTGTCTCCAAGAGCAGAAAACCAACAGTAAGTGGAATTGAGGCCTAAAGAGCGTATATTTTCCCTATGACTGCAGAGCTCAGCATGGGTCAGGTGTGGTCCGGGGACAGAGTCTCTGGCCTGTCTCTATTCTCTGGGTGACTCTTGGCTTTGCCCTTCTTGGTGGGCTACCTTTGTTCCCCTTAAAGTAGCACTTCCAGAATTGAAATCCTTCCTGTACCATGCAAAGGAAAAGCATCTTCTCAGGGACACCCATGGAAACCAAGGAGGCTTTTCCCACAAGGCCATAGCCAATGCTGCCTCATATCTCATTGATCTGAACTGAACAATGTGCCAATGTCAAGGCCACTCAAATTGATGGGATTGATGGGATAGCATTCTGTGGTTGGCTAGACCTGACCAGGGATCATCTTCATCACTGGGATGAATGAAGCCCACAAGATCACAAGACTGCCACACAGTGGGGTAGGGTGCAATCCTAAAAGGAGTACCAGGGAGCTTCTGACAGAGAAAGGAAAGAGATGCTTGAGAAGTATTTCAATTACTTTTTGTTGCTGTGATAAAACACCATGACCAAAAGCAACTTATGGGAGAAAGAGTTGATTTTAACTTAGGGCTCCAGAGGGAGAGTCCTTAATGTCAAGGGAGGTAAGGCAGCAAGCAGCCAGAGCAGGGAGCTGAGAGATCACATCTTCAACCACCAACAGGAAGCAGAGAGAGAGAGAGAGAGAGAGAGGAGAGAAGAGAGAGAACTGAAGTGGGCAAGGCTATAAACCTCAAAGCTTGCCCCCAGTGACCTACTTCCTCCAGCCAGTCTCCACCTCCTAAAGGTTCTATGACCTCCCCAAACACCACTGTCAGCTAGGGGCCAAGTGCTCAAATACCTGAGCCTATGGGGGACATTTCTCATGCAAACCACGACAAGAAGCAATTTTAAAATGCTTCCTGTTAGGACAGTTAGAGTGCTAATGCCTGTGATGATTTCTCATGATGTCATCCAAAAACCCGTATTTTTCAATTTTATCTCTTGGCTCAACATGTTGACCAGAATATAGGGTCTTTCTGATTTACACAATGATGACAATGTTTTTAAGCTTAATCAGAAGTTCTAGGAAGGATTTTATCTGGGAAGGCAATGGGAAGGACTCAGAAGCAAACACTACCATATCTGCTGTGTGAGGGGAAGGATGGGAGACCAGGCTGACAGCCATGGATGTAGATGGGGTGGGACTGAACTAAGAGGTGAGGAGATGGGGCTGGCAATATGGAAGTAGACTAGTTTCCTACTGTTGTCTTAAACCAACACAAAGTTAGTACCTCATAGTTTTCGTAGCTCAATAGCATAGTTAGGTCCTATGCTCAAGGTCTAAGTCTGAAGTCAGGTGGCGTACTCTCGGTACAGTTGAGGGCAGGCTGTACTCTTTGTTTAGTGCTGAATTCTCTTCTAAGCTCATTTGAACTGTTGGCTAATTCTGTTCCTTGTGGTTGCAAGACAGAAGCCCTCATTTTCTTCTTGGCTGTCAGCTTTGGCTTACCTTCAGGTTTTGACTGTATAGCCCTGTCACAGCTTGTCAGGGTAGCTAGGCAGGGCAAGGAGAGGATCTCTTTTCTGTCCTCCAGAGTTTTACAACACCATTCAATCACGGGAGGGACCCTATGAGGCAACATGAAGAACATGAAAACAGAATATCCCTCCCTTCTGTCCTCCCCATAAGCCCTCACCTGAGTCTGACTGCACTGAGTCACTATTGTAAGCAGCCGACGTCTTGCTTTTCGCTGTTGGAGGGGGAGACTACAAAGAGAGCTGGACACAGCAGCAGGATTTACACCAGACAGTAGCCTCTGAAGGTTGGGGAAGGAGGGTAAATCATATGGGCTGGGGCCCTGGTCCCAGAACTAGCTCGTAAGGGCCACATGTCAAATGCTTACTACACACTAGTGATTCCCCCATTCCTTCCTTCTTGAGCTATATGGAGTCAACAGCCTGCCTCATGGGCCTTAAAGAACATTCTCCATAAAAGAATTCTTACCCCAGTCAATACAATTGCACACTGTCTCCAGGAAAAGTTCGTGGAAGTTTTCAATGAGAATTCTGCTGATTTAAAGCATATGGGAATTAAGAGGGATTCTGGTTAGAAGATTGCTTCTTTTCAGCTGTGTGACCTCAGGTAAGTGCCTTTGCTTCTCTGAGCTTCAGTTTCCTTATCAGGAAGATGGAACTAGTAAGTTGTAGGTAAGGTAGATGAAGTGATTGTTGTACTTCTGACAAGCACTAAATGGGTTAAAATTCTAATCACCTTCATCTCACTTCCCTTTCAAAGGAAACTTACTAAGTAGAGATTATGAAGAGACAAACTATACTAGGTGAGGCCCCAAGGCTCAGTTCCTCTGTTCTTCATAATGTTGTAGCATTTGGCAATAATTACAAATGTCCTGTCAAGCTGCTTCTTCTCCCACTTGGCCTGCACCATGATGTGAGTTCCATGAATGCCCTGTGATGTGGATGGCATATCTTGGTAAGATACACTGAAAAAATAGACTTTGGTAAAATAAGACGATATAATAGACTCAATAGATTTCCACATTTTTTTTCCTTGCACAAGTCCCTGAATTGTATTAAATTTAAGAACATATGCAAGAGATTAGCTAACATGTTATTCATCATAACTCTTTTCCTTAACCCAAATTATGGAAATGACTTAAACATTTAGCTATCGAAGGTCAGCTGCAGGCCCAGCAATATGGCTCAGTGGGTAAAGGTGCTTGCCACTGAAACCTGAGTTTGAGCCACTGGACTCATAAGGTAGAATTAGAGAACTGACTCCTACAAGCTGTCCACTGACCTGCACATGCATACTGGCATGTTCCCTCTAAAATAAATAAATAAGTGTAATAAAATAAATTTAAAAGAGCAATTGTGGCATGCTTATATAGCTTAACCTTCTACATCAAAAGTCAAAATGCTGTCTTCGGAGCTTGGGGCAGCCATTGCAAACATGATCTTACAGTAGCTGTGGTTAGCAGTACTGGGCCTGCTCAAGTCTGGGCCTGTCAACAGTCAGTCATGGACTGGGGAGGGGCTCATGGGGCCCTACCCCTCCCTGCTGAGCTCTTGGCTACTGGTGGGATTCTGGGGGAGGGACAGTCCTTGTCCTCGGTTGTGTTAATCCCACGAGGCTCCAATGGATAGTTCCAAACCTGTGGCCATACAGATGGTCCTGGTTAAAATCAGTGGGTCACAGAATAAAACAAAAAAACATGAATGTGAGAAAGGGACCCACAGGAAGGAAGGGGGATGACAGGGGTGGGAGGGAGATAAGAGGGGGGGGTGAGAGTAAATGGAATGGACTATAGAGGTATATGAAATTGTCAAAGATCAAATTTAATCAAAAGAAAATAGTTTAAGCAATTTGTTGAAAATTTCCCTCTCACTTCATTTCTGTAACAGTTGATATTTGGCTGTCCTTTTTATAATACAAAGTGAGAACTTACCCTACCATTGTGTTGCTCAGTGGTAGGGCACTTGCTGAGTAGATGCTTGACTCTGGGTTAAACACACACACACACACACACACACACACACACACACACACACAAAAAAAAAACTGTATATTTGTTTACATTGGAAATTAGAAACTGGAGAAGAACACAGGGTGGTATGGTAAAGGTAGGCTATAAACCTGACCATGATATGTGAATCTACATCATCAAAACAGGATATGCATTTTCCTAGACAGAAAACACTCATAATGCACAAACACCTAGGAAGGTGTAATCCACATTATCACCAGTGTTTTTTGGAACAGGGAAGTGTTACGGGTCATTTGAACTTTTTTGTGTGTGTTTGGGAGAGGGGCCCTTTGTTTCCTCATCTCTATGCAATGGATATTAAATTCTAGTTGCCAGGGAAAGGGAAAGGGAAACGCTTAGATCTCTGCATGCACTAACACTGGCCAAACATTTCAGGTTATCGTCAAGACAAGAACAGAGTACCAGCCGGAGCAGAGGAACAAAGGGAAGTTCCGGGTGCCGAAGATTGCGGAATTTACGGTCAGTTTCTTGGTTGGGTGGCAAGTAGAGGAAAGGTGGCACTTAGTGGTGGTACAGAGACACTGTGGAGTGGGAAAGTGATACAGGCTATTTCTGGAGGATTTCTCAAAGCCACACTGTCCCCATGGCTGAGGTTAATCACATGATCTCAGAATGTCCTGACGAATTTGATAATTGACAAATGTCGGCTACCCTCACTTTTCCTGTCCTCTTCTGGCTTTTTCATCACAGTCTTCTGAAACCCTGACAGAAATGTATGAAGAGACTCAAATTTTAGAACAGCTAATAGCTGTTCTAAATAACATACAAGGCCAAAGGACAGAAAAGCTGACTTTTTGGTGGAACAAGCCTCATGGTTACTTCTGTTTCTTGGTGAGGGTCACTAGAAGGATTGGCAAGTGTCCATTCCTGGCAGTGAGGGATTTCATGACAGAGCTGTGACGTGTGCTCTGTAAGGATGAAGGGAGAAGCTGAGGTTAGTGCCTAGGGATCCACTTAGGAGCTGAGGCAGGGGAGGGGGCCAGTGTTCAGCAGGCACAAAACAAGGGTGCTGGGGACCGAGGACAGCATGGCTTATACAAAGGCCCAAAGGCTTAGGGATGCCAGCGCTGGTAGGAATAATGGCTGTTAGGCTGGGCTCTAGGAGATAATGGGGAGAAAAGAGTAAGTCAGGAGAAGTGGGCAGGATGTGGACAGTTCTAAGTCTTGTAGGCTGTATGGATGGATCGTGGGTTGTATGCTAACAGCAACAGGAAGCCTCTGAAGCCTGGGGAAAAGTCATATTATGTTTTACATGGCTAATGGGGTGTTGGAGGGCAAGAGGGAAGAGGAAATAGATACTGTGATTGTCCAAGTAAAACTCAGCTGTGGTCCAGACAAGGCTCATGAGTGGATAGAGAAAGGCAGACTCATTTAGGAGGCAAAATTGGCCACAGGGACAGGAGGACAAGAGGTTCTGTGGGTAGACATTGGGAACAGGCTGGATGTGTTTGAGCCTTATTTCCTCTTTATGTTACCCATTAGCCACAAGCAGATCACTAAACCTTATTTCTCAAATGGAGATAGTAGTCCAGTTGCTATGAAGCTGTGTATATAGAACACGCAAAAACCACTGAAATCTGAGCAGAAGGAGCTGCAGAAGGAGCTGTTCTGTGCTGACTGTGACTGTGAGCGTGAAAGCAAATGCTGCCTTGGTTGGTTATCTGGGGCCTGGAGAGGTCCACAGATGAACAGATTGGCTGCTCTCTGCCCTTGGTGATCTTTCTCTGCACTGAATCTGTATTTGAGTGTCTGGGTGTGTGAGCCTCCCTTTCAGGAGGTAGAGGCTGTTCGTTTCTTATCACTTCAGCTTCTACTGCACAATGTGGACCCAGTGAATGTGGGCCTGGCTGCAGCTACACACAGCACCCTAGGAAAAAGCACAGAGGTCTGAGGGGAAGCTGGGGACCTTGGTGATGATGTGGGTACATCAGGCCATGGGGTAAAATTGACTTGTCCTGGCAGCATATGCCCAGAGTCACATGCAAGAATATTTACTGTAGTACTATTATCAAATTGAAGTATTTAACAAGACTTTCAACAGCTTTCTCCTGAATCCATAAATAAAACCACATCTCTGTGATAGACTATTTTATAATTTCTTAAAGAATCACCTTTTCCGTGCCAGGCATGGTGGGTGTGGTAGACATGGTGGTGGACACCTTTAATCTCAACACTCAAGAAGCAGAAGCAGGCAGATCTCTGTGAGTCTGAGGCCAGCCTGGTCTACATAGTGAGTTCCAGCATAGCCAGGGCTATATAGTGAGATCCTATCTCAAAAAGGAAAAAAAAAGAAACTTTTTCAGGCCAATGAGATGGCTCAGCATTTGATCCCTGGAACCTACAAAAAGATGAAAGGAGGGAACCAGTTCCAAAAAGCTGTCCTCTGACCTCCAATATATGTGTTGTGGAACATGCAACCCCTCCCCCATCACACACACACACCACACACACACACACACACACACACACACACACACACACACACACACACTGGGAGTGGGAGTGGAAGTCTATACCCTGTGGATAAGAAGGAACTGGTACAATCTTGTTTCTCAAAGGGGAACTGTGGCTCAGAGACATGATCCAAGCTGCTCACGCAGCTACACAGTATCAACATCAGAGCTGGGCCATCCGGCCTTGCTATCCAGTCATGCTGCTACAGCAGATAACTGCCAGATAGAGCACAAATGGGTCGGCTAAGAGAATAAAAAGGAGCAGCTCTGCCAAGGTCCAGGCCTCTGGAAGGCTTCTCCTGCAGTTTAGCCCAGTTGGCCCTTGTAGTCTGCAGAGATGGAAGAGGCTTGTGTTTCCTTGGCGGCCCTTTGTCAGCACTGACAGTCCTGTGTGGGTGGAGAAGAGCCTTGCCTTTTGGAACAAAAAAAGGGGAAGGAATGAAGCAAATTCTCATTTGCTTATGTAAAGCTTGAAGTGTTAATTAGCCTGGTTTTCAGCTTTCTTCTGAGAGCTCCCTCTGGGCTGTGGAGAGGATGCATCTGCTAGCTGGAGGGTGCTGTGGAAGGAGGGGGAGGACGGTGTGTGGTAATTAAGAGTCTAAGGGTCTTCCATGAGTCAGATCACAGGGGCTCGGGTATCCATGGAGCTTGTTGTGGGAGCAGAATCACAAAACTTATTTCTGCTGGAAAAAGGGGGTTGAAAAAAATCCATTCCTTAGACTGGGTGGTAGGGGCACCTTCTAGGGAGGCAAGAGTCTGGAAAGATGCACTGAGGAGAGTCTAAAAGCCATGGGAGGCAGTCTTGCCATCCTTGGATGTAATGAATGTGTAAAAATGTGTCTGGAGCTAAAGATGGAGATTTCATCTGGAGAAGCTGGCCTGGAAGTCAGCATTTACAGTTAGCCTTAGAGAGCTTGGTGCCAGTCAAAGGTTGCCCAGGGCTGCGATAACCTTGAGAACAACAAAGATGTGGCCTCAGTTACCATAGTTCCTTCATGGAGCTGGAACAGCTCCTGATTTCAGGTTTTAAAATTATCTGAAGAGAGCAATTCTAGCAATTATGGGATGGGAGAGAAAGGGAGAAGCTCCTAAAACTGACTTTGCTGGGGAAGGTACAGCTGCTCTGAAAGTGCTGGTGCTATGGAAAGGGCTGGGTAGGGTGGATGGCTTTAGTGCTGCAGGGGTGCTAGTGCCATGGAAGGTGGTGGTGTATTTGGAAGAACTGGCACTACAGAAAGAAAGTAGTGTTGGTCTGGAGTGTGTTGGTGCCATGGAAGTAGCTGGTGCTATATCAGGCACTGGTTCCAATGAAGAATTTTGGTGCTATAGAGGATGCCGGTGGAATAGAAGGTGGTGATGCTTTGGATTTCTGGAAGGTCCTGATGTTATAGATGGCATACTAGTGGTATAGAAGGTACTGGTGCTGTGGAGATGACGGCAATGTGGAAGGCACTTCTGCTGTTGAGATTTCTGGTGCCATGGAGAATATGGTGCTATAGAGATATTGGTGCTGCTGAAGATGTTCCTGCTGTGGAAGATTCTGGTGCTGTGGAAGGCGGCAGTACTTTAGAAAGTACTGCTGTTATAGCAGGTGTTGATGCTATGGAAAGTTTTGCTCCTGTGAAGATGCTGACAACGTGGAAGCGTTAGGTAGGGAGAACACTGGTATGATGGAAGGTGCTAATGGTATGGAGGGCACTGGTACCATGAATGGTGCTAGTTCTGTGGATGGCTGTGGTGTCGTGGAAGGTTAATGTGCTCGGGAGAGTACCAGTGGTGTAGAGAGTGCTGGTGCTGTAGAGGTGCTGGTTAGAAGTGCTAACAGTATGGAAGGTGGCATCGCTATGTGAGGTGCCTGTGTGCCAAGGCCTACTTGTCCCAGAACTGGCTCATTAGTGGAATTGAGTGTTACATTTGAAAACCATTGGGCTAAGGGCTTGAGGGACATTCAGAGCATCACTGGGGCTTTGAGGCTGGACTCATCTAAGAGTCTCAGTCTACGGCTTTGGGAAATCACTTTGCCTTTCTGGTATCCAAGTCCTCATTGTTCAAAACAGGGCCCAATCTTGAGATAACAAAGTTTCTTGTGTGCTCTAGGTGCTTAATAAATAATCATTGGTTTCCTCCCTTTGATTCTTAGCTGCCTAATAAGCTGGATTTGTCTGCTGGTTGAACTCTGAGCCTTCCTTTCTTTTCCTATGGAGATGTGACTGTGAGATCTGGAGGAACCATTAAAGGTTGTAGCCAGTTCAATGTCAGGATTCACAGGTGACCTCTGGTTCTTAACAGTCACCTCTAGAGCTATGTCTCTGCCTAAGTGTGGACTATTTTTTAATGGTCTTTATTAAATTTGCTCTTTGATGATTTCATAAACATATGTAGTACATTCTGTTTACCGTCATCCTCACTCTATCATCTCCCCTACCCCTGTCATCCCCCGTCCTTCCTTCCAGTCCTATGCAATCATGATTTCACAGTGGAACTGTCAGCATTTAATTGTAGATTAAGGATAGATCCACATGGCACATGATCTTCCCCTCTCTGCTGAACTATGGGTTACTATTCTGGGCGAGGGGCATATATTCTCTTTGGTTGTTTACCCACTGATGAACTCACCGTGTTCCAAACCCACAGTCACACCAACAGTGGGTCACAAAATGAAACAGAAAGATGGGGTTTTGTAGGCTATTTTTCAACACACTAGTTCTAAGATGAATAATCATGATGTGCGAAAATACTTCTTTAGCCATTCTTTCTTCCAACAATCCTATGACCTAGTTACTCTTACTGTTTCACTTTTACAAGTGAGAAAAATGATGCTCAGAGAAGTCAAGGGACTTCTCAGTGTTGCTCAGTCAGGGGATGTCAGACAAAGTAACCAGCTTGTGGTGCTGTATTTCCCTATGTCTGCCAATCCCTGTTCCATCCTGCATGGTCCTAGCCCAGTCCTAGCATACCTGTCTTCTTCCTTTTCTTTTCCCCTTTCTTTCTTTGTTTTTGTCTTTC